GAACTATATATTTCGGCAAAATTTAGAGGTGCGTGTTACTTGTATAGTATAAGGTGAGCAACTTATACAAACCTCACCACCTTTGCATAGAGCTCTGTCTATGGCTCTCTCCGTCTCTCTCGTTCTCACAACATTTTAACGAGGTAGGAATAGAACTCTTGACGTTACAGTATGGCTCAGCCGCCTTGACCACCCAAGCACAAGCTCATCTATCTCTCTCTCCGGCCTACCAAACTTGCAACTAAATACAAATAAAACATTATTCCAATTGGACGGTTGTGATTCTGGGAGGCAAATGTGCCTCTCCAATCTCAAACCGTCATACTATGCAATAAATTCAAGTCATCAATTTAATTCATGGTCATTATCATCTTAGCCTTACAATGATAGTAATTCGTTGTCAACTTTCTATGCATATCAATCGGGAACTAAAGAAAAACAACAGTCTAAGCACATGGCAACAGAAATTACGGGTTACAAACATACATTTGGACAGTTGAGAGTTTGGGAGGCAAATTGTGCTTATTCAATCTCAAATCGTTAATACAATGCAGTAAATTTATATCGTCAATTTAATTCATCGTCATCATCATCCAAGCCTAGTAATTCGCTTGGTCAACTTACTATACATACCAATCACGAACTAAAGAAAAACAACAGTCTAAGCACATGGCAAGTTGGCAACAGAAATTACGGGTTGCAAACATGCATTCCCTTCCCCCCCCCTCCCCCCCTCCCCCCAAGTCCTTTATGGCTTAAATATCTTTCTTGGGTAGGCAAATAGGATTTGGAAATCATCCATGCAAAAAAATTCCCTTGAATCTCTCCCACAATTTTCACATTCTAATAATATAAATGCATGTTGAAATTACAATTCGCCGCATGACTTTTGGAATTGGAATCGGTGAGGACCAAACCACTTTTGGAATGTTATGAGTCCTGGCCCTATTTTTTTTTTAGATTCCTCAATATTTTTTCTTTTTTAAAATTTATTTAAGGCTTTTTAGGTCCCTTGTATATTTTCTTATGTTCCCTTTAAATTCCGGCTCCATAAGCGCCTATTTTAACTCTTCTTTTATTTCAATTATTTTTAACGTTTTTTGGATCATTGATTTGGATTGATCCCTTGATATAAATCACCGATCTGACAGGGATTTGTGGGAGAAAGATCTGCCCACCGATCCAAGTTTTAAAACATTGCTTTTATCTATGAAATTGTCAAAATCCAAACTTGTGCTTACCTTTATGTATAATCTTAAGTGGTCATAATCATATCAAATAAATACCTTAATGACATCAGGTTCACAAGCATTTAATGACATCGGTCCTAAAAACAATATTTGAATCAAGAATCGTCAATCCGGATAAGGATTTAAGGTTATCAAAGATCATTCTCTCTAGGAATTGGACAATGCCCAATCCTCTCAAAGCATAGGGAAAAAACCCATGTTTCCTATGTTGTTGATGAGTTTTAAGTCTAAATCGTCGAACAAACGCCAACATATGCATATTGCCCATTTTCATCATTCTTTTTATCTTTTTTTTTTTAAAAAAAAAGACTTTTGTAGATAGATACCCGTTTCAGGATACAGCTGAGCCGATGAGGCTGATCCAGTTTGTTACAATGGATGGCCAATCTACATGAACGATTCATGATTTAAAACACTCCTTGGATATGAGTGGAGTTGTGAAAAGCACTTTCCATGGGGTGGCAACGGGAGGTCCCGATTTGATGACATGGACGCAACAGGTTGGTTCCAAGTAATTTGGACACTGACCTAATCTGGATTAGGGTCCAAAAATTAAAAAAAATAAAAAGTTTGACTTTTATATATATATATATTTATTTATAAATATTTTTTATTTTATTAAGCAAATCTACTCAAAAGAAATTACATCAGAAGAAATAGCTAGAGCGGACAAAGATGCCCCTCATTCAGCAAGAGAGTCAACCAATGAATTCACCACACGATAAACATGGCAGAACGAAACAACGAGTGGAGCAACTAGATCCATAATCTGTAACCAACTAGACCTCAGATTCCAAGGAGTACGCAGCTCCTTCGTACACCATCTAATAGCATACAAAGAGTCTCCTTCAATGATATAGCTATTCCCAAGGTTTCTAGAGATAAAAATTTTTATACCTTGGAGCAATGGCAATAACTCCGATTGGTTAACCGTGGCTAAACCAATAGGACTAGTATATGAGAAGATGATCTTTCCAAAACAATCACGCAATACACCCCCAATGCCTGCCAAAACTAGATTACTCAAAGAGCTCCCATCAAAATTTGACTTAAACCCCCTTGACTTAACCCCCCCCTTTGGTGCCACCCAAATACTCATCGGTCTCATATTTACAGTACCCATCAACAACATATTTGGCAAATTTAACATAACATCTAGTTGAGAAATGCCCCAACCCTCCTTCGTAACAAGAATTATGACCAAATAGACAAGACTTTACTGAGCAATCTATATAACGATAAACTCTCTCCCTCAAAAGTCCGCATATTTCTTTCCTTCCAAATTTCCCATAATCTAGCCCCTCTCACTATTTGTCAAACCAAAATACCCACAAAAGGTAAATGATTAAAGGCTACTTGTGACACTATACCCATCAGGGAATGGGGTAGTGTAGCATGTATCTTAAGTAAACCAAATAACCAATACCAAATTTTAGATGCAATGTGGCAGTAGATAAATAGATGATCTCCAATTTTCTCATCCGCTTTGCACATCAAACAAATGTTGGATAAAACTTTACCCCTCTTAATCAAATTATCCACTGTTAACATTTTATATTGAATAACCAACCATAAAATACCTACACCGTATGGGGAATAAGTCATTTCCACACTTTAATTGTAGCACGTAAAGACCACCTCCATCTATCATGGAAGAAGAGCCTATAGCAAGACTTCACCAAAAGGTTCCCATCACATTCAAGTTCTCAAATCACTTCATCCGTAGCCCATTTGGAAATATAAACCGAATCCAAGATACCCATTAAATCTTTCCATTGAAAATAAGTATCTTCACTCAACTTATCATACGGGAGATTAATACTCCAAGCAACACGAAAACCACACACTTCAACCATATCAAAAACCTTAGCATTAGGTTGCGAAACATGTTCTGGATAAGTAAGCTTCAGAAAGGCATCACCTATCTACTTATGATGCTAAAATGAAATGTTATTACTACAACCAACATTCCATCGAAAGTAACTCGCAATCATTAGTCTACATCTGTAAATACGCTTACACAGAGAAGACATATCGCTAATAGAACCACCTCCTAATTACAGTCCATGCCTATCCCGGCCGTATTTCTATGATAAAACCTGAAACCAAAGCTGATATATATACTAAAGACTTCTCCACCACCATTTACAAAGCAATGCCTCATTCATATATTTGAACTTTATAATGCTGATTGCTTTCATACTTAGAGGTACAAGCATTATCCCACCTAAGTAAATGATACTTCCGTTATTCCCCAAAAATCCCCCACAAAAAATTACACATCATCCTTTTATTGATCTTATATCTTGTATGTTATATATTCTACACCGGATCAGGTTGGCTTGACCCTGACCCAAAACCAACCGGACCCGATAGTGTCCAAGCCGTGCTGAGATTCGAGCCCACCCCAAGTTATTTGGACCCAGACCTGTGCTGTTAGTCCAATACATAGACCTGGATCTGGACCCAAACCCATACTCCATAGGTCGACCCAACCCCATTGCGAGTCTTAGCTCTCTCGATCAAGGAGAAAAAGAAAAAACAAATTTTTTTTCACTATTGAACGAAGTAAAGATCCCCAAACTTGGTGCATCCCTCAGATAAGATCAAATCACCCCTACTTCCATTAATGAAGAAGCACGGGGGCAATTGAGTAGCACGCGCATTCTGGTTTTTGTCTAAACATAGTTCCCAGGGGTAATTTCGTCATCTTCGTATCCACGCAATTTTCCATATTACACCTGCATTTATTCTTAATTTAGAAATATTTATCCGTAGATGAAGAGTTAATAAAAAGGCATGATGGGCCCCTTAGGTGGACTCTCCACGAAATCCCGGGTAGTGGATTCTCCATGCTTGGCGAAGGTGGCGCAAGTAGGCCCCACCCGCTAATTCCGGCTGAGCCTACTCCCCCACGGCCAAATTTAGCGGAGCTCCGCCCACCTTTCAGCCTAATTAGGCGGACCTTTACGCTGACGCCAGCGTGACGACTTGGCGCCGCTCCTCTGCGCCAGGCACGAGCCGATCCCTCCGCCCCATACACTTGTCCAAGGGCTCGGCTGGGCTCGAGCTGATATAAAATTAGCCCAAAAAACGTTTAGAACAAATGGGTATGTTATGGTTATGCGGGAGCATGGTGCGTATCTACTCCATTGGTCAAAAAACCTACTTTGCGGTGTATTTTTTAATTTGAAAGTTTGAGAACTACTACGAATTATTAGATGAATATTTTATAGAATATTTTAGATGAATATATTATTAGTTAATATATGGGTTGAAGTTACATTCCCAAATTTTGCTGTCTTACGCGGGGTTTTATCCAAGGGAGTAAATGAACAGTACATTCCTACAAGAGCATAAATAAATAGCAATATTTTGTCGGCACGCCGCTGCGTACGACCTGCACCGCGTGCTGACATGGCAAGTTCCATAAGACCTCCACTTGCCACGTAGGAGTGCCGGAGTGGCCCACCGAGCGGCCCCCGTATCACGCCTGCGGGTCCACCGTTTACTATATTTTGGGTTCTCATGCAGTGCCCACTTCCCCCGCGTGCATTTTTTATCCCCACTTTTGTGATGCATTTATTTTTCCTTCACGCCAACGTCCTACAATTAATGGGTGCGAAAGTCCCCAAAATGCCCTTGCATGCCTGAGAGACCCACCTTCTTTTCTCTCTCTATCCACTCACCATTACTGCGTGTGAAACTATAAGTACCCAACTTCACTAGAGGGAAAGAACCATGTCCACTTAGAGAGAGAGAAAACCCATTTCTTTGCTTTCTCTCTCTTCTTCTCTTGTTTTCTCTGTTTCTCGTGATTCTAAAACGATTTCTAGAGAGAGGTTTTTGTTGTTTCGGTATTGAGAAATGGGGGAGGCGGCGAATGTGTTCAATTTGAGTGACAAGAAATATGATTGCAATGGGAATGGGTGTGGGGTTGTTGTTGAGAGCCGTAGGCCTTGTTGTTGGTATGAGGAGGAGATCTATGATGACCTTAGGTGGTCTTTTGCCCTAAACAGGTGCTCTCTTTCTTTCGTTTAGAGCGCGTTTGTGTTTGTGTTTGTTTTGCCGTGAAGTTTTTCTTTGTTTGAAAGTGAAATGTTATCTTTTTGAAGGATTGGAAGTCGGATGTGAGAGAAAAAAAGGTTTCCTTGAGGCTTTTACTTACTGCTTCACCTTCAGAAGATTTGTCTTCCATAGGAAACCATGGAAGAGAAACTTTCCCCGGTTAAACGAATATCGGAAAGATGCTTCACCTTCAGAAGATTTGTCTTCCATAGGAAACCATGGAAGAGAAACCTTCCCCGGTTAAACAAGTATCGGAAAGATATGAGGAACATTTATGTTCCTCTTAATGTAGCACTCCACGCACGTCGAAAGCGGGAGTTGCTAAAGTGCTCGGAGAGTTCTTATTATGGAGAAGAATCTTCCCCCAAATAAACACGCTCCTAGAGAAATTTGTGCACAATAGTAATGACTAAGAAGGTGGAATAACCCATTAAAAAAACAGTACATGAATGCCCATGCTGCACCTATGGAGTATGGCCTATGGACTATGCCTCTCTCTCTCCAATGCATTGTCGTTTTCATGCTTGTTTGGCTTTTAACTTCTCTCTCTCTCATGCTTATTTATGTTTGTTTTTTCAGTATTTTGCATACCGGGACAAGCGAGTTTCAAGACATAGCGCTTCTGGATACCAAACATTTTGGGAAGGTATGTTCCAAAAAGCCATTTATTTAAATATATATATATTTTTTTAAAATCCATCTAAATGTTCTATGAGATGAACTGCAATAATTTATCTATATATTATGATTTTAAAATCCCATCAAAATAAAATATACATTATCATGGTTTGGAATTAGCAGCGGTATGGGGCTGGGTCGGAGCCGGGCCCTACAAGCCGGAGGGCCCGGCCTTGCCAAATACAACAAAAAGTAAACAAAGGGACAAATAAGGAAAATAAAAGGCTGGGCCTGTCACAGCCCTAGCCTAGGCCCAGCCTGGTCCTGTCCTTGGGCCATGGTGGCCGGGCTTGGCCCAGACTTCAGGCAGCATTTTGCGGCTCAAACCTTAGTTTTTCAGGAACAATCAGGCCATGCTGGGCTGTGGCGCATTACCAACCTTAGTTGGAATGGTTGAAAATTGGTTAAACTTCCTAGTTGATAAGTTAAGTGTATTGTTATAATTTCCCTTGTTTTTTTTTTTTTTGAAGTATTTAATACTGATCATTTGATTATTTCACAGGCTTTGATAATCGATGGGAAGATGCAAAGTGCAGAAATGGACGAATTCATATACCATGAATGCTTGGTTCATCCTGCCTTGCTATATCATTCTAAGTAAGTTCATTTTTCTAACCTCTAAAAGATTTAATTTCCTAAATTGCAATGGATATGATTCTGGATTTCTATATTATTATTTGATAAGCATTTTTATTTGATATTATGGTTTATAATTGAAAAAAATAAACATTTTACTTTTTTTTTTTGTTTATTCTTTTGATTATTAAAACTGTTTACTTTGTTTTGAAGCCCCAAAACTGTGTTTATAATGGGAGGAGGTGAGGGCTCCACCGCAAGAGAAATACTGAAGCATAGAACAATAGAGAAAGTCGTCATGTGCGATATTGATGAGGTATAAATAATAGCGAGAATAGAACAATAGAGAAAGTCGTCATGTGCGATATTGATGAGGTATAAATAATAGCGAGAATAGAACAATAGAGAAAGTCGTCATGTGCGATATTGATGAGGTATAAATAATAGCGAGAGAGAGAGAGAGAGAGAGAGAGAGAGTATACTAACCACTTTTTTTT